GCGGGGCGCCTGCCCGTCGGGTGGCCCGAGCCGGGCAGGATGAGGCCCGGGGCTGCTCCCCTTCCTCCCTCCAGCAGCGCCCCCGGCCCGCCCCGCCCCCGCAGTTCTCGGCCCACAGTCGGCCCTCGCAGAACACCGAGCCTCTTTTCCTCACGCCGTGGCCAGCGACCTTCTGACTATCCCCGCCCCATCCCGCCCCCATCCCGAATACAGGGTTCCCCGTATTCATTTATTCAGTGGCTTGGATTGCAGGTATTGTTTTTCATAACAGGAAAAAACCAAAAGATGTTCTAAAAGCTGTTGCAAAGCTAGGACCCTCCGGGCACCAGCGCTGCCCCGACCGTCACGTGAAGGGGCTTTTCTATGCTGCATTTCCCATGATGTCTGCTGATTCCCAGGCGGAGGAGCTCCGGCGCCTTCTGGAGCCGAGGGGGAAGCCCACCACGGCCCCCTCCCCCGCCAAGCAGCAGGAGGCCCCGAAGACACGGACCCACGCGGTGTCGGACAGCCTGCTGAGGTGGGAAGGGCCTGCTTTTTGGCTCTGGAGGTGATCTGAGACTGGGAAGCAGCACTCGTGTGAGGTTTGTCCTGGGGGTGACCCCAACTCCAGATGCCAGACTCTTCCTGCCCTCCAGTCTGAGCTGGAGGGGGTCAGTGCAGGGGATTAGCCACATATTGTGCATACTGTTTTATATAAAAAAGCTAAAAGTTTAATGAGTCGGTGTGCTCACCGGGTCAATATGGCTTCAAAACTGGCACCTGGTCAGGCGTGGTGGCTCATGCCTGTAATCCCAGAATTTTGGGAGGCCAAGGTGGGAGGATTGCTCAAGCCCAGGAGTGTGAGAACAGCTTGGGCAACATAGTGAGATCTCGCCTCTGCCAAAAATAAAAAAACTGGCTGGTGTGGTGGCATGTGCCTGTAGTCCCAGCTACTCAGGAGGCTGAGGTGGGAGGATCGCTTGAGTCCAGGAGATCCAGGCTGCACTCCAGCCTAAGCCACAGAGACTTCGCCTCAAATAAACAAAAAATGAAAAAAAGAAAACCACCTATCGTCTCCACACATCAGGGTGCTGCAGTCAGCCTAGTTCCTCGGGGACCAGGGCCTCCCCCGGGCCCGGTCCAGCAACTCCACCTCCGCCTGCACCCCTCTCCTCGCCCTGCTCGAGGCTGGTCATGCTGTGGGCCCACCTGACCCAGCAGCACAGGCCTGCATCGCCTTCAGCCTTGCTCTGGGCCGTTGCCTCGTCTCCAGGGAAGCAGTAAAGCCCAGTGGTCCCGCCACTTGCCAGCAGTGTGACCCGATGGGAGACATGTTAGCCTCTCCTGGCTTCAGTTTCCCCAGCTCACAAATGAGGATGACGACAGCTCACCCTCACGGGATGCCACGTGTGTAAGTGCCAGCTGACGCCCGGCCCCCGGGTTGCACTCAACCCCACACCTGCCCCTTCCGAGGCCTTCAGGACTTTCTCCTCCCCTTCACAGCCCATCACGACATCTCTCCGCGTCCAATCACAGGCCCGCTCTGGGCCCTGTGAGGCATGGGGTCCTGGGCCTGGGCTAGCCTCCCCATCTAGTCCAAGGCCCCTGGGTGTGTGGCTTCCAGGGTGGCTGTGGGGAAAGTGACGGGACACAAAGGCCGAAGGGCCCTCCACGGCCACAGGGTGCCTGCCCCATGCCCCATTCCTATGGCCTGTTTTTCCCCGTGTGAAAAGCTGGCTCACCGACCCCACGCCTGCTGCTTAGGAGAGAACCTGACTGACGGGTGTGGGCTGGAACCCCCAGGACGCAGCCTGCAATGTACGCAAGTGACCGTCCGCTCCAGCCCACACCTACGGTGGGGCCCCGGAGGAGCCCGGAGTGTGCCGGTACCTGGCTGGATCCTGGCCACATCCAGCAGCTCCTGGACTCTCCACAGGATGTCGTGCTGCAGGCCGGCTTCGGAGACACCCACCTGTGGGGCCCAGGGAAGAGTGCACTGTGGCGGGGCTGGGCGGGGCCGCTGCAGCACGCAGTGACCACACGCGGCCCCAGCCCCCAGCGCCACCTGGCTCTGGCTCCTTCGGCTGGAAACGTGGAGGCCCTCCGGGCCTGGAGGGGCCGGGGGTCTGCATGGGGCAGCGCAGCACACAGCTGTGAGGGGGACCCCCTCAGGCCTGGCCTAACACTCCGCGTGGCAGGCGGGACAGGGAGGGAAACTGAGGCTCAGGAGGAAACCAACACCAGTGACAGCCAGTATAGAAAGCGCTTCCCAGGGCCAAGCACTGTGCCCACAGTGTCAGTCCTGCCAGGTGCGGGAGAGGGGAAGCCCCTGAGGCCAAGCCACTCGGAAGCAGCTGTGCCTGAGCCCCTCAGAGCCTGAGTGGCACAGTCTGTGACCCCGCAGTGGCACCTAGCCTTCTGGGCCTCAGTGTCTGCATCTGTCCAGCAAGCAGCAGGATGCTGAGGGGCAAAGAGCACCGGCTTGGACCAGACCACCCAGGGTCCAGTGCCAGGTCGAGCAGACCTGCTGTGTGACCTCAGGCAAGTTACTGCCGTGCTGGGTCTCAGTGTGCTCGCCTGCAAACGATCATGACCTCCCTCCCTGGGCCAACGGGAGGATTCACTGAGCTGGAATGTGAAAAGTGCTTAGAATGGGGCCTGGCGCATGCAGGTGCTACAAGGGCATCAACTGGCATTGTTATTCTTCTTTTTTTTTGAGCTGGAGTCTCACTCCATCGCCCAGGCTGGAGTGCAGTGGTATGCTCACTGCCACTGCCATCTTGACCTGCTGGGCTCAGGCAATCCTTCCGCCTCAGCCTTCCAAGTAGCTGGAACCACAGGTGTGCGCCACCACACCCGGCTGACTTTTGGATTTAGTGTAGAGACGAGGTCTCACCCAGTTGCCCAGGCTGATCTCGAACCCATGGGCTCAGGGTAATCCTCTCATCTCAGCCTCCCACAGTGCTGGGATTGTAGGTATGAGCCACCGTGCCATTTTTTTTTTTTTTTGAGTCGGGGTCTCGCTTTGTTGCCCAGGCTGGAGTGCTGGAGTGCAGTGACATAATCATGGCTTACCACAGCCTCAACCTCCTGGGTAAAGGTAATCCTCTCACGTCAGCCTCCTAAGTAGCTGGGACTACAGGCATGCACCACCACACCTGGCTAATTTTTAAAATGTTTATGTAGAGATGAAGCATTGCTATGTTGCCCAGGCTGGTCTTGAACTCCAGGGCTCAAGCAATCCTCTCTCCTCGGCTTCCCAAAGTGCTGGGATTACAGGTATGACCCACTGCACTCAGCCGTTATTATTATTCTGGTTTGAAAGTAAATGGATTAATATGATGCAGAGAGCTCAGCTCATGCCCAGAAAGGTGTGCTGAGGTTATGACTGTCCATTGATCGTGGGACAGGTGGGGCCAGACCAGATGCTTCCCAAGGGTCTGTCGTGCTTGCCCCTACGGTTTGGAGGCGCAATCCAACCAGGTGGGGCTGTCCGGGGTCAGTGAGACCCACGCCTGGTGTTTCCCAGGGAGCCTGTGTGGGGCGCACACGGGTGGCTGGGGCCAGACAGGCAAGGTGGCCCTGGGCACTTGGCAATGACAGAGCTCATCAAGAACGGCGCGAGGAGCAAGCCCACCCTCGGCCGCCTCGCTCGCCTCCCCGCGGGCTGCCACTTCCCACCTTGGCCAGGTCCCCGGGGCTCATCTGGCTCAGCACGTCCAGCGAGATGCGGTGGTGGGCGAAGACGGGCAGGTAGTGCTCGGCTGACAGCTCCTCCAGGAGGGCCACCAGCTGGGGCTCTAGGCCTTCTTCCTGCAAGACAGACCCATGGGAAAGGTACAGGGCACCGAGAGCCAGAGGGAAAGAAAGAACCCGCTATTCACAATGGGAAACGCAGGGCTTGACTGTCTCTTGACACAATTCATAGGTTTTTTTCTACAAAAACACACGTAAGCCCATGGATTTATATGCACAAGGGAATTTGTTGCCACACTATCTGCAAACTTTTAAACTTTTATTATTTATTATTTTTGAGTCAGGGTCTCACTCTGTTGCCAGGCTGGAACGCAGCGGCACGATCACAGACACCGCAGCCTCCGGGGCTCAGGCGATCCTTCCACCTTAGTCTCCCGAGTAGCTGGGGCTTCAGGGGGGTGCTACCACCCCCAGCTAATTTTTAAATTTTTTTCTAGAGACGTGGTCTCACTATGTTGCCTAGGCTGGACTCAAGTTCCTGGGTACAAGCAATCTGCCTGCCTCAGCCTCCCAAAGTGCAGGATTACTCCCAAAGTGCGTGAGCCACTGCGCTTGGCCTTGCAAATGTGAAAACAATAAGCAACTTGAATGTCCAGCAGGAGGGGACTGTTAAAATAAACTAGGGCTTATCTGCATACTGAACACTGTACAGCTGCCTGGAAACAAGGAGATGGGTCTCTCTAGGAGGGAACCTGGGGACTGCTCATCACGATTGCTAAGAGAAAAAAGCAGGTTGCCAAAATGGCTTCTACAGAATGCCTCAATATTTGTTGAAGATTTAAAAGTGTGTGGGGACGGGGATGTCCACCTGCCTGTCCCTGCAGGTGCTCAGGACAGCTGCTCCTGCCTGCGGTGGTCTGTCCCACTGTGGGCTCAGCGGTCTGGGCCTGCACAACCGCGGCCAGTGTCTCATCTTCCCCCTCGCCAGAATGAATGCTCCCTTTCTCTCCTTTCTTTTTTTTTTTTTGAGACAGGGTTTCTCACTCTGTCGCCCAGGCTGGAATGCAGTAGCACAAGCAGAGTTCATCACAGCCTCCACCTCCTGGGCTCAGGTGATCCTCCTGCCTCAGTCTCCTGAGTAACTGGGACTATAGGATGTGCACCGCCACGCCCGGCTAATTTTTTGACTTTTGTAGAGACGAGATCTTGCTGTGTTACCCGAGCTGGTCTTGAACTCCTCGGGTCAAGCGATCCTCCCCCTTCAGACTCCAAAAGTGCTGGGATTAAAGTGCCCAGACCTTTTCTCTCATTCCTGTCCCTGCCGGTGCCTGGAATGAGCCTTGGCACACTGGAGTCACCAGAGAGATGAGCGGAATTCGACGGGAAGGACCAAGTGGCAAGGTATGGTGGAGGCACTAAAGCCCCTCTGGAGGGGCCCAGGGCTCCTGGCCGGGGCAGAGACCAGCAGTCCTTACCTGTAGTTTCAGGGATAAAGGCTTCTGGTTCAAAAGCCGCTGGTACTGAATCAGCCAGTAATTTTCCTGCCTGGTCTCACTTTTCGCTTCTATCTCCATCTGCCAAGAACAACACAGGCCATGTCAGCTATAGATCAGTAAATAAAAATCCTATGACAGTGGCAATTGTGAACCCGGCTCTGTGAGCAGGTGGACGGCAACTTGGTATTTTACAAAGGACTTTCCTGTCCACTTATTGTCTCACCAGTTAAGCTACCGAAGTGGGACAGGCAGGAAGTGCCACTGAGAATTTACATCTGAGAATGATCTTGGAGCTGACCTGCCTGATGCCGCACGCCTTGTCGGGGGAGCACCTGGAGGGGGGCTTCTGCCACCTGGTGCCACACTCGGCCTCTTCCTCTGGGAGAGACACCCTCAGCCTGCTTGTGGGAGAGTAAGCATTATGCTGCTGCCTCTTCTCTATGGAGCTTGGGCTGCCCTCTGGGTGCCAGGCGGGGGTGCAGGATGCTAAGTACCCCTTCGGCTTCTAGAGTCACCTGATAAACCTGAAGTGTCAAAAACGTGCTTTGAATACGAGGTTTTCATTCTGCCACTCAACAACTATTCACTGAGTATTGTTCTAAGATGCTATGCTGGGAATAAAGCAATGAACACATGATGCTAATCACATCAGCAGTAACAACAGCCACTGACTTTCTTTTTTTGAGTTGGAGTCTCACTCTGTCACCCAGGCTGGAGTGCAGTGGCATGCTCATGGCCACTGCAGCCTCGAGCTGCTCAGGCTACCCTTCTGCCTCAGCTTGCCAAGTAGCTGGAGCTACAGGCATGCGCCACCATGTCCAATGAATTTTTATGATTTATTATAGAGACGAGGTCTCGCCAAGTTGCCTAGGCTGGTCTTGAACCCGTGGGCTCAGGCAATCTTCTTGCCTCGGCCTCCCAAAGTTCTGGGATTATAAGCATGAGCCACCATGCCTGGCCTATCCGTTGACATTTTAACAGCACCACATCCCAGGCCATGCCGTGCACGCACAGCTGTCATTTACTCAACTGTCCCAACTCTGTGAAGCAGATTCGACCTCACGGGTGAGGACATCATGGTTCAGACTGGCTAGTCACCTGCCCAGACTCAGGGCCAGGATTCAGACCAGGTCTGTCTTGTGTTGGAGCCTGAGCTCTGAACAACTGTGGCCACACAGCGAGGGCAGGACTTGGCATGGGAAGCAGGATACACACCAGCCCCTGCGGGGCCCCAACTTCCCTGGGGGATTCCTCTTGGACCTCACCAGGACGGATGCCCACTTCTGTCCCTGGCCCTCCCTGGGCTTCAGAAACACCTGTCCTGCAGCACCCGTGGGCCTCACTGGCTGTGTTCTGCTGGGGTGTGCTTCCTCCCCTGGCTGGGAAGACCCCCTGGGCCTTCTGAGGCCAAGAGTACGAGGCCGTGACATCTGGCTGCCACTGCACCGTGCCAGGGCACCATTTGCATGTGTATACAGTATGTAGGAGATGACAGGCACCATGAGGGACAAGCAACTTCTGGTTGGCACCAACATGTGAAATGCTGACTTTTGTGGAGATGAGGTCTTGCTGTGCTGCCCAGCTGGTCTCGAACTCCTAGGCACAAGCAATCCTCCCGCCTCAGCATCCAAAAGAAGTCAGTCTCACTCTCCTCCTGAGCCTGCACGGGGCCTGGCCTAAGAAGGAGCTCAGAGGACATTAGGGTCACTTATAATGGCACAGGAGCAACCTGGTCTTTTCAGTCCCTGGAGGGCCTGGCTCCCATCCTCATGGCAAAGGGGCCCTCCAGCTCTGGAGGACATGCCTTTACGCTAGCTCGGCCAACCTGATAATGTGCCAGAGTCAAACCCATCTGGGCACAGGGGACAGTTGGGCCACTCCTGCCAAAAGCTCATCAGACGGCCTGCACTGGACACAGCAAGTCCTCTCCTGCAGTGAAGACTCATGCCGTTCTCAAATCCTCAGCCACAAAGATATTCAAAGAACATAGCTTGTACGTAGCTTATATGTTAAAAAGCCGGAAGTAATCCACATACTTGGCAATAGGGGCCTGACTAGACAACGGCCCCTCCCAACACAGCCCAGAGAGAATGTGGAGGAATAAGTGAAACCAGGCTGATTGTGAAAGGACAAGCACCATTTCATGCTTAAAAGGCATATTTGTGGTTAGCTATGAAGACGCATCACAATGTTTGGAAAATATGCATCAAAATGTTAGCAGACGATGACTCTTGGAAGTGAAATTCTTTTCCTCTGTACGTTCCCCAGTTTTTCCTTGAGTGCCTGTGCATGGCTGGGCACGTGTCCTCACACCTTCCCATCCAGCCATGTGGGTTCTTAAAAAAAAATCTTAAGAAAATAAAAAAAAAAAAATAGAGACAGAGTCTTACTATGTTGCCCAGGCTGGTCTGGAACTCCTGGCCTCAAGTGATCCTCCTACTTCAGCCTCCCAAGTTTGTGGGAGTACTAGCGTGAGCCACCACTCCCGGCCAACAACTCTCATTTGAATAACTGAAGTGTTTGTAAACATGGCAACTTGCTTAGAAAAAGCCACCACACAGAGAAGCCAGACACGTACCAGGATCTCCCGGAGTTCTTCCTCTCGCTGCTGCTTCTCTTTGAGCAGCTGCTGGAGCAGCGAGCTGAGGGCCCAGCGCTGCTCCGAGATCATCTCCTGCAACACAGGACCACACCCAGCGTGCCGTGAGCTCACGCCACAACACGCCAGGAGCCTGTGGTGGGGCAGGATTGAGACGGGCTCACCTGGGGTCACCCGTTCGCTGGGTTCTCGGTGGGCGGTTCAATTCGAGGCCCTGCCAGAGGCTCTAAGGCTGCGTTCTGGACAAGTTTGGAAGCCCCGCCGCCCCCGCCCCAAGCCTGCGTCTCCCTTCCCTGTGGGGTGAAGGTCAGGCATGGGATCCTGGTGACGGATGACGATGGAGTGGTAAGAAATGGCAAACGAAAGAGATGACAAGCACGGGCACTTGCCTTTGGGCCCACGGACCGCAGGGCATGTGGGCAGGGCAGACGGCGGGTTGGGTGTGGACCCCACACGTGAGGGCTGTACACAAACAGCAGCGTGTGTAAACGGAGCCCATGTGCGCTCCCGGCCCCTCCTGCACTTCCTCCCGGACACCCCGCAGAGGCCCGAGGGCGCGAGCTGAGTCCCAGCCCCACCAACCACAGAGACAAGGGCACGAGCCAGGCACCGAGGCCGCGCTCCTGAGAGCAGTCCCGCCCTCTCCTCTCTGAAGGCCACTGCGAGGCGCGCAAAGGCTTTCCCTCCACGGGCTCATGCTCTCCGGAGGGCCTCACGACGCAGGCTGGGCCTGGACGATGCCGTCCATCTTACCGAGGGGAAGAAGGCCGGGGCGGGAAGAGTGGCCTGCCTAAGGCACACGGCCACAGGCAGTGGCAGTCCCTGACCAGGGCTCCAGACCTCAGCACCCCACTGCCCGGCGAAGCCCGGGAGACGGCATGAGCCTGCCAGACTGACGCCAGACCCAGGGACAGTGACTGACGAGAGGCTCTGCTCAGATGCACGGCGTGGGCACACGTCCTCACACCTTCCCATCTATCCCTGTGTGGGCAGCTGGGGAGAAGGGCAAGGCTGCCCCTCGTCCCCCAGCCACCAAGGGCGCACAGCAAGGCGGTGCTGGGTCCAAACGTCCCAGACATCTTGTCCAGAGTGCCACCTGCCAGCGCCTGTGCCCTCATCTCCATGAGCAGGATGCTTGGGCCACAGCTCACAGAGATGCTGCCCACGAGGAATGACACAGGAACGTAGGGCCCCTCCTGTGGACATCCGGGAGACACCCAGGAGCTCCGTTCCCGAACGACGTCAACCCAGGTTGCCCAGGCCCTGAAGCACGGCCCACAGAGACCTCAGCCGCGACCCGCTCCCGACAAAGGCAAGGCAGAGATGGAGATGGAGGTGGGTGAGCCTTGGCAATGAAACCCTCCTTCCTCTGACCCTCCTGCCTAGCTGCAGGGCGGCCCCACCTCTGACCCTGGCCTGCGCAGGCCTTCTGGGGCTGGGAAGCTTCCTCCGGTGGCACTGCCCTGTCTGTGTCTGCTGGAGAAACTTCTCGCTCCCGTGGGCAGCTGCCAAGGGGCTGGCAGGGGCACCACGGGGGGGGTCTCGTCACATAAGGGCGGGGAGGGGTGCGCAGGCCGGGAGCCCTACATACCTGTAGTGTCTCTGTGTCCAGGAATTTCCTCTTTAACTCCAGCTGTGTCAGCTGCAATAACTCAGTTTCTATTAATTTAATCTAAACAGAAGACGAGACAGGGGGATGTTTTTACTCATAGTAACCATGGCTCGGTTTTGTGCTGCTACCCCCTGCTGGCCAAGTGGGGTCTGAGAAGCCCTTCTGGGGAGGCTCTGGAACGTGGGGGCCCAGTAGGCCTCAGGAACCTCATGGGGGTTTAAAAAGAGCCAGCCATTTTGCCATTTCCCGGCTCTGAGCACTCGGGTAGTTGGTCGAGGGTGGGGCCAGAACCGCAGAGCAAACACGAGGCTCTCCTTTGGGACTCGAGGCAGAGTGGAGACTGACCCAGAGTGACCACCTGGGTCTGTAGGGCTCTGTAGCGCTGTCGGGAGAGCAGAGGGAACAGAAGGGACTGAGCAACAGGGTGCTAGCAGCTGGTACGTACTAAGCACTCGCTGGACGCTGGGCTTGTGCTACACGCTGCTCGCACACCATTTCATCAGGTCTCCTCTGGCTCTTTGGAGGCATTATTGTCTCAATTTTACAGACAAGAAAACTGAGGCTCAGAGAGGTTAAGTAATCGGCCCAAGGAAGCAGAGCAGGTGACAGAGCCCTTTCTCTGGGATGTCCCTGCTCAGGGTCTGAAGGGGACCAGCTGGCCCAGTGGGCCCAAACCACCCACAGTAGGAATGTCTGGGAGTCACCGCACACTCTCTGGGGTGCGTCTGGGGGCTCTTAGCTCAGGGGCCAGACCTCATGGCCAATGACTTCTCTACCCTAGGCCCATGATCCTAGGACCCCACCGACCCCTGGTCAGAGGAATGAGCTTCATGTCCAGTAATGTGGGGTTGAAATTAAAGAGAGAAATTATAAAGGTAAAGTAGGTTTGGTCAAAAAAAAAAAAAAAAAAAAGAAAGGAATAGAAAGGAAAAAAACATGCGAAAATGTGAAATTCCAAGTGTGCCGGATCCGATGCGAGGAGCATTCCCACAGCCTGAAGCTCACTCCGTCCCCAGCCGCAGCCCCAGCTTCACACGACCGGCAGCCGCCCAGGCAGGCTTGCTGGAGGCTGCCCGCAAGTGGACAGCGAAGCCAGAGCAGAGCTCGACCCCTCCTGGGGGAGGTCGCTCCTTGGCAGGTGCTGGGACCAGAGGAGCTTATGCCCCGCCTGTCCCTCGGGACAGAAATCCAGTCTGCCAGGAGCCAGCTCCGTGGGTCTGAGCTGATGGGGGTCCTGGGGCCTGTGCTGGCTGCTTTCCCCAGCAGGGGAGTCCTGCGGGGGTGGGGGGGGCGGTGCACGGCGGCACAGAGACCGCCCAGCATGCGTGCTGCCCTCCGGCCGGGCCTCAGAGACACATCAAGAACCAGCTGCACCATCCCCGGAGTCCCCGACGGAGGTCTGTGAGCAAAGGGAAGCTCTGAGGCTGGGCCCTCGGGCTGGGCTGGTGAGAGGAGGAGGAGGGGGATTCAGACCTCATTGGCTGCCGGCCCTGCTGAGTCGCTCTGCAAGTCTCTGCAAGAGCTGAGCGGGCAGGTCGGGGCGCCACCTCCTGGCGCTCACCTGATTCCTGATCTGCCGATGCATCAGGTCTTTCTTCACCTGGAGAGCCTCGAACGCAGCCTTCTGCATGGCGCTCTGCAAGAGACCACAGGCCACTCAGCGGAGGTGAGGCCTTGCCCTTCCACGTGGGCCCCTTAGGGGAAACACAAGGGCTGCGTACAGAATGCCTGCACGAGCCAGGCAGGCACGGGTAATCTCAGTACTTCGGAGGCTGAGGCAGGAGGGTTTTGAGACCAGTCGGGGCAACACAGCAAGATCTTGCCTTTACAAAAAATACAAAAACTAGCTGGCTGTGGGGGTGTGTGCCTGCCGTTCCAGCTGCCAGGGAGACCGAGGCAGGAGGTTCACCTGAGCCCAGGAGTAGGAGGCTGCCGTGAGCCGTGAGAGTGCCACTGCACTCCGGCCTGGGTGATAACATGAGACTCTCACTCAAAAACCAAACCAAACCAAAACATCTCAGTGAATGACTGTTCTGTTTCTGAGAGAGTGCCTTTCACCTCACTTATTTAAATCTTCAAACGATATCCGGGGCTTCCCACGGACCGGCTGGTGCTTGGGGCTCTTTCCACATCAGCACTGCGTTTCTCCAGTGGGCGACGGCGTGAGTGCCTACCACTCCCTCTCACAGAGGAGGAAAGTGAGGCTCAGAGACACACACTGGCACTGGGACACGCGTCGAGTGCCCCAGCTCCCGAGCCTCGCTTCACCACACGGCAGACGCCCTCTCTGGGAAACAGGACTTTCCTCAGACAAGGCTGCACATACGAGGTCAGACCATCTTAGAACCAAGAGACTGGAGCTAGGGAGAAAGGGGAGGGCAGGCGGCCGAGCAGGGCAGGTGACAGACGCGCGAAGCAGCGCGGGCAGAGCGTGACGGGGCGCGAGGCCCCCAGGCTGCAGGAGGAAAGCGGGACAGAGCGAGGGGAGGGCGTGGGGCCCGTCGCTTCGCCTGCTCGGGGTCGACCCAGCACCTGCTCAACCCCGGCGGAAGCGGGAGGGTAGAGAGCGGCCATTCGCTCTGCCTGCGAGAAGAGGTCGGAGGCCCACAGCGTGCGCCGTAGCACGACCTCCACGGAGGGGTCGCCATCACCCCTGGTCCTGGAAGTACTTCCCATGGAGCCCCTACACGGGATGAGGGGGAGCAGGTGGGGGTGCTTCTCTAGATTTCAGGGACCAAATGACCACCCCCCACAAATCCCTCAGATGCCTCTCCTCACCCCACATCCTGATGCTCTGTACATTTCTTTTTTCTGTTTCTTTTAATTGGAGTCTCACTCTGCTGCCCAGGCTGGAGTGCTGTGGCACGCTCACAGCCACCGCAGCCTCAACCTACTGGGCTCAGGCAATCCTTCTGCCTCAGCCTTCCAAGCAGCTGGAACTACGGGCATGTGCCACCATACCTGGCTAATTTTTATGATTTACTGTAGAGACGAGGTCTCGCCAAGTTGCCCAGGCTGGTCTCGAACCCCTGGGTTCAGGTAATCCTCTCGCCTCAGCCTCTCAAAGTGTTGGGATTATAGGTGTAAACCCCTGCGCCTGGCTTAGGCTCTGTACATTTCTAAGGTCATGAAGCAGCCAGGCACAGTGGCTCAAGCCTGTAATCCCAGCACTTTGGGAGTCCAAAGCAGGAGAATTCTTTGAGCCTAGGGATTCGAGACTAGCCTGTACAACACAGAAGACCTCATCTTTTTTTTTAACTGATATTTTTGTTCAAATTCAAGATTATAAGTTTTACTTAGCTCCTTCTGTTTTACATTGATGCCTCCTTTCCTCCAGAGGAGAATTTTAGTTTCCAAGAATAGAAAAGATGACTATTCATAATTTCTCATTTCAATTATCACACATTATACCTCTCTCTCTCTTTCTCTCTCTCTCTCTTTCTCTCTCTCTCTCTCTCTTTCTCTCTTTCTCTCTCTCTCTTTCTCTCTCTCTCTCTTTCTCTCTCTCTCTTTCTCTCTCTCTCTCTCTCTCTCTCTCTCTCTCTCACACACACACACACGCACACAGAATAGCATAAAAATAAAATCAATACTATCAACACTGCTTATGACAACTGAAAATGGCTAAATTTTTTGTATGTGCTGATTCTTCCTCCCAGTTTGTGTGGCTGTACTCTGGCCACAGCACAGTCATTACATATTGCACTCCCCTTGCAATCCTCACTCATAGTTTTCTAGGTATGTGTTGAATGCTCACCACCAGTCCCCATGTAAAGGTCTCTCTAGTTGTCTGTAACCTATTCCTGTGGATTGCTCAGGAGCAAGACCTCATCTTTACAAAAAATTAAAAATTAGTCAGGTATGGTAGTGTACACATGTAGTCCCAGCTACGCAGGAGGCTGAGATGGAAGGATCACTTGAATCCAGGAGGTCGAGGCTACAGTGAACCATGATCTCATGACTGCACCCCAGCCTGGGTGATAGAGTGAAACCCTATCTCCAGAAAAAAGGAGAGAGAAAAAGAAAATTATAAAAACAAGGTCACGAAGCCACCTGGGTCTTACATGCTGTTTAGGACAGGGCTTCAGGTGGAGTTCTTTTCTTTTTTTTCTTTTGAGTTGGAGTCTCACTCCGTTGCCCAGGCTGGAGTGTCGTGGCATGCTCACTGCCACCGCAGCCTTCACCTGCTAGGCTCAGGCGATCCTTCTGCCTCAGCCTTCCAAGTAGCCAGAACTACAGGCACAAGCTACCATGCCCAGCTAATTTTTAAAATTTATTGTAGAGATGAGGTCTTGCCAAGTTGCCCAGACTATTCTCGAACATGGGTTTGATTGCTCAGGCAATCCCCTCACCTCGGCCTCCCAAAGTGCTGGGATTATAGGCTTGAGCCACTGCGCCCAGCCCAGGTAGAGTTCTGAGGCTCTTCCTTGGCTCCTGTGCACCCCTCCTGAGCCCCCACCCCAGGTCCTGGACAAGGGCTCACCTCCTGCAGGATCTGACTGATGGCTTTGTTCTGATCCATCTGCTGCCATGACAGAATCTGCTGGAACCGCTCGTCCATTTCTGCCATGCTGTAAGAAAGAGCAAGTCTGCTTATGCTCGAAACATTTCCTGTGCACCTGCTATGTTCTGGACACCTTGGAAACCCAAATAGTCCATTTGTTCTTTCGACAAGACTCATGGAGCCCTGTGGGGAGTCAGACCCTGGCAGGGAACAGACACAGAGTTGGTCTGAATCCCATGCTTGGAAGGGAGAATCTCACAGGGCCTCTCTCTCAACAGCCTCCAAAGTCCCTGCCACAGCACCCCCTGAAGTGGACACCTGGCCTCTGCCCAGTTGCCTCCATGGATGGAGAGCTCACAACTCCCAGGTGAGCCACATGGCTATGACAAAGTCATCCTTCCTGGCATTCTTGGTCAGGGGTGGCTCTCAGCCCCCAGACAAGTCTGGCGATTTTGGCACAAAACCTTGCAACTCCACATATGTCCATGCTTTGGTACAATCTTGATTTTGAGTTTATTTCAGAATAAAAACAATTGTTCCTTTCCAAAAAAGTCCCTGTCTCACACTAATAGCTCAGGCAATCCTTCTGCCTGAGCCTTTCAAGTAGCTGGAACCACAGGTGTGCACCACCATGACTGGCAAATTTTAAAAATTTATTGTAGAGGCCAGGCATGGTGGTTCATGCCTGTAATCCTAGCACTTTGGGAGGCCGAGGTGAGAAGATTGCCTGAGCCCACAGGCTCGAGACCAGCCAGGTCAACTTAGCGAGAACTCATCTCTCCAAAATCAAAAAATTAGCCCGACACGGTGGTGCATTCCTGTCATTCCAGCTACTAGGAAGGCTGAGGTGGAAGGATCACCGGAGCTGAGGTTGAGGCTGCGGTGGCCGGGAGTGAGTCACCGCACTCTGGTCTGGGCGACAGAGCGAGACTCCAACTCAAAAAGACAAAAATTGTTGTAGAGACCAGGTCTCACCAAGTTGCCCAGGCTGGTCTCGAACTCCTGGACTCAGGCAATCCTCTCACCTCAGTCTCCCAAACTGCTGGGATTACAAGCGTGAGTCCCTACACCTGGCCAATGATAGCAATTATTTATTAGACTCCTGCGTGCTGGACTTGAAGCTCATTAATGATCATCAAACCCTCCATCAACTCTGCAGGCAGGTGCTGGGATTTAGCCCCATTTTTCTGATAGGAAATTTGAGGTGTAGGGAAGGAAAGCAACTCGTCCAAGATCTTGCAGCTAATAAGCAGAAGTGGGACCTGCATCCAGGTCTGTCTAACCCTGTGCTGTGCTCCCAAGCACAATGTCATGCATTAGGAAAGAAGGGCACATTTCCAGCATCTGCAGGGACACAGGGCGGCTGGCATGGCCTAGGTGCCTGAGAGGGTGACAACTGAGCCAGAGTCACCTGCTTGGGAGCAGAGACACAGGCATCCTGGCCTGCTGGCCTGTTCCCGCTGGCCTGTCTCCGAGTGCTAAGCTTGACTGCTGGCACAAACCCAGTGCCACAGTGAGCATGGCCCAGAGCGGCCCTCACGCGACAGCCACCCCACCCCCACCCTGAGGACTCTTGGGGGCTGACAAGTGCACCAGTCAAGAGCACACCCCTCCACTCTGCCTGAGCTCGAGTCCGGGCACTGCCACTGCTGGTTGTGCTTCCATGGGTGTGCCACACAGTCTCGGAAACGAAGTCACGACGGTAGAACGGGGCTAGGAACAATACTGTCCCTCACAGAAGCAATGAGCTAAGGTGACACATCATTTAGCCTCGCGCCCAGCATAGCGACTGCATGAGAAACGGGAGCGACTGTCATAACCTTATTAACCTTCCATGAGATACAGGAAGAAAACTCAGGAAGGGCCAGGTACGGTGGCTCACTTTAGGAGGTCTAGGTGGGAGGACTGCTGGAGTCCAGGAACTCAAGACCACCCTGGGTAACACATCATGACACTGTCTCTACAAAAAAACTTAATCGGGCCACTGCACTCCAGCCTGGGTGACAGAGGGAGACCCCGCCTCAAGCAAAAAGAGAAATCTCAGGAAGAACAGTCGCCGCTTGCCTTGGACATTACGGCTGAGGCTGGGGCGGCCCAGACGGGGGTTTCAGGGCTCAGCTCTTCCCCACAGTCTCGGGCCCCGAGCCAGCTCCCCCAGCACCCTCACCTGGGACGCCGCCTCCGTGCTTTACCTGGAACAGGCCTGCTGGACCAAGTTCTGCCTCTGAGACTCATAGGCCATCTGGATGAGGCGGTTTTTACAGCTCTCGGTCAGCATCTGCTGCATGGCGGCTGCGGGAACATGGGGGCGGCTGAGAAAGGGGCGGCTGCTGCTGGAGCCCCGGAAGGGACGCAGCAGGAATCTCCTGCTGAGGGAGCAGGACGTGAGGCTTCCCCTGGCCACCCACCTGATGTCACCCTTAAGAAACACTTTTTTGTTAGTGACAAAAGTAATTTTAGGCCAGGTGCGGTGGCTCACACCTGTAATTCCAACACTTTGGGAGGCTAGGCAGAAGGACTGCCTGAGCCCAGGAGTTTGCCCAGCCTGAACAGCAAAGCAAGACCTCGTTTCCACAAAAAATAGAGGATTGCCTGAGTCCAGGGGTTCAAGACCAGCCTGGGCAACTTGGTGAGACCTCGTCACTACAATAAATAAAAAAATTAGCTGGGCATGGTGGCACATATAGTTCCAGCTACTTGGAAGGCTAAGGCAGAAGGATCGGCAGAGCCCAGCAGGTCGATGCTGGAGTGGCTGTGAGCATGCCACTGTACTCCAGCCTGAGCAACAGAGACTCCAACTTAAAAAAAAAATTAGTAGGGTGTGGTGGTATATACCTGTAGTCTCAGTTGCCTGGAAGGCTGAGACGGGAGGACCATCTGAGCCTACAGGTTTGAGGCTGCAGTAAGCCATGACTATACCACTGCACTTTAGTCTGGGTAACAGAGTAAGACCCTGACTCAAACACCTTGGAAGGCTGACTAATTGTAAAACACTAAGCAGCACACATACAAAATCTATGATCCTGTCACCCAGAAATACTATTACGTTGATATATGTCTTCCAGTCCATACATTTTTTTTTAAGAGACAGGATCTTGGCCTATTGCCCAGGCTGGAGTGCAGGGGTGCCATCACAGCTAACTGCAGTCTCGAATTCCTGGGTTCAAGCAATCTTCCTACCTCAGCCTCTTGAGTTGCTGGGACTGCAGACATGAGCTACCACATCCACTTTTTAAATTTTTTGTAGAGCTGAGGTCTGGCTACACTCCCCGGCTGTTCTCACACTCCTGGCCTCAAGTGATCCTCCCACCTCGGTCTCCCAAAGTGCTGGGATTAGAGATGCAAACCACTACACCCAGGCTAGAACAGGTATTTGTTCACCCCATGTTCACAGCAGCATTTTTCACAGTAGCCAAAAGGTCGAAACGACCCAAATGCCCGGTGATGAATGGATGGTTAAAGAAAAAATGGCATAAACAGGCGAGAGAATGTTATTTGGCCTTGAAAGGGAAGGAAACTCTTTCCTGGTGATCCAGTGGCTAGGAAAAAAGTAATAGGAGGAAAAGAAAAGACATTCTTAAACATGCTACAACATGAATAAACATGAAGACTTCTTTTGAGTCCAAGTCTCACTCTGTTGCCCAGACTGGAGTGCAGTGGCATGCTCATGGCTACCACAGCCTTGACCTGTTGGGCTCAGGTGAGCCTTCTGCCTCAGTCTCCCGAGTAACTGGGACAACAGGTGCGTGCCACCACACCCACCTAATTTTTCGATTTATTGTGGAGACGAGGTCTCACTAAGTTGCTCGGACTTGTCTTGAAACCCTGGACTCAGACAATCCTCTCACCTCCAACTCTCAAAGTGCTGGAATTACAGGCATGAGCCTCTGCGCCCAGCAAACCTGAGGATATCATGCTAGTGAAAAAAGCTAGACACAAAAGAAATGATGTATGATTTCATATAGATGAGGCACTTAGAATAGTCCAATTCACTGCACCAGAAAGTAGAACGGTTATTCTGCAGTGGCGGAGGGGTGAGGAATGTGAAGTTAGGGTTAATGGAGACAGAAAGTTTCAGTTGAGGAGGATGGAAACGTTCTGGAGGTTGATGGTATGGTGGTTGTGCAACAATAATGCCATGGAACTGTGGATTTATAAATGGTTGGAGCCGGGCTCGGTGGCTCAGCCTGTAATCCTGCACGTTTGGGAGGCTGAGGTGAGTGGATTGCCTGAGCCCGCGGGTTTGAGACCCGCCTGGGCAACGAGACCTCATCTCTACAATAAATAAAAAAAAAAAATTAGCCGGGCATGGTAGTACACGCCTGTAGTTCCAGCTACTTGAAAGGCTGAGGCGGAAGGATCGCCAGAGCCCAGCAGCTTGAGGCTGCGGTGGCCGGGAGCGGCCACTGCACTCCAGTCTGGGCGACCGAGTGAGACTCCAACTCAAAAAAAAAAAACAAAATAAATGGTTGGCCAGGCTCGGTGACTCAGCCTGTCATCCCAGCACTTTAGGAGGCCGAGGGGAGTAGACTGCCTGAGCCTGCAGTTTCGAGATCAGCCTGGGCAATTTGGGGAGACCTCATTTCCACAATAAATCAAAAAAATTAGCCGGGCATGGTGGCGCACGCCTGTAGTCCCAGTTACTTGGAAGGCTGAGGCGGAAGGATCACCTGAGCCCAGCAGGTCGATACTGGGGTGACCGGGAATGTGTCACTGCACTCCAGCCTGGATGATGGAAATAAATAAATAAATAAATAAAATACAAATAAATGGTTAAAGTGGCAAATTTTATGTATGTATATTTCACCACAATACAAAAATTAAAATGGTATCACACACGAAACACACCACTTCCCACTTTTTATAATTACTCCCCATGAAACGAGTGATGCAATGGCAACACTGTAGAGTGCCACAGCAAACAGATTACCAAAATTTATTTAGATAATCCTCTATTTTCCAGCATCTGAACTCTAAAAAATTTGGCTGGGTGGGGTGGCTCACACCTAAAATCCTAGCACTTTGGGAGCCCAAGATGGGAAGGTTGCTTGAGGCCAGGAGTTCAAAATCAGCCCAGGGAACATATCAAGATCTTGCCTCTACAAAAAAAAAAAAAAAATTAGCAGGGTATGGTGGCATGCACCCGTAGTCCCAGCTACTCAGGAGGCTGAGGTAGGAGAATCACTGGAGCACAGGAGGTGGAGGTTCAGTGAACTGTGACTGTGCCACTGCTCTTCAGCCTGGGTGACAGAGACCCCCAGCTCAAAAAAAATCATTACATCTTCACTCACACTTGTGCACACCTAATTATTTGATTATTCCCTAGAATTAATTCTTAGAAATGCAGCTTTAAGGCCAAAGATAATATAGAAGAGTTACCCTCTGTACCCCCTGGAAAGATCCTGCTGGTTTATACTGTTCTTGGCAGGGTACAGGACAGCTCAACAGCATATGCTCTCAATGGCTCATGTGCTACCACGCCCGGCTGATTTTTTGATTTATTGTAGAGATGAGTCTCGCTGCCCAGGCGGGTCTCGAACCTGCGGGCTCAGGCAATCCACTCACCTCAGCCTCCCAAAGGCGCAGGATTACAGGCTGAGCCACCGAGCCCGGCTACCATATGTTCATTTTAAAAAGCTAAGTACTAGGAAGTTTGAAAAGGTGGAAACAAAGTCGCCTGCACTGGTACCATTTGATACACGTCCTTCTGGAGATCTCCCAGTTTTCTGTTTCCACACCATGCATCTCAGTGATCTTTAATACCAGGGTGTGAGTGACCGGACACTGTCCCAGGTGGTGGTGAGGACACAATGTGTAGGGCTGGTGCTTGGCTGGAGCCTGGCACACAGTAACCCTCGGCTGAGGGTGCACAGAGCGGCTCACTCTTGCCCTGAAGATGGGGAAACCGAGAGAACCAGCCCTCACTTTAAATAAGGATAAGCAACTGCCTCCGTGGCCTTCCTTAGTCCATGGTCTGCAAGTTCTTGGGAGCCACAGGGAGCTGCCAGAACACACAAGGGCCCACCACACTCCTAGTGACAGCCAGCGGCACAGCCAGCGTCATGAAACACTCAGTGTGTTCCAGGCATCGTCCTATCTGGCCCTCCTGATGACCCCAAGAGGGAGCGGTGACTATTGTTTCCCCCATTTTAATATATGTTTTCTGAGTTGGAGTCTCACCATGTTGCCCAGGCTGGAGTGCAGTGGCACAGTCATGGCTTACCAGAGCCTTGCCCTGCTGGGCTCCGGCGATCCTTCCGCCTCCGCCTCGGAAGTAGCTGGGACTACAGGCGCGCGTCAACACGCCAGGCTAGTTTTTTGATTTTTACATAGAGATGAGGTCTCGCTAAGTTGCCAGGCTGGTCTTAAACTCTTGGGCTCAAGCAATCCTCTTGCCTCGGCCTCCCAAAGTGCTGGGGTTACAGGTGTGAGCCTCCGCACCCGACCAGCTTCCCCCACTCGATAGCCAAAAAAATGCAGAGGGAAAAGTTAGGGACAGTCATGCCCCTAAGGTCACACAGCTAATGTCTGAGCTGGGACTCCATGCCCAGCCTGATCCCAGAGCCCGAGCTCCACGGCTGGGCTTGAGTGCACTCTTGAGGGCCAACACTCAGGGACCCACAGAGGGAGGGCTGTCCGCCCTGTCAGCCAGTCAGCGGGCAGCGTGCTATGACCCCTGCTCCCTCCCATCCCAAAACTCACAGGCAACCTCTCGTCGCCGCAGGTTCTCGGTCTCCTCCTGGGTTATGGACATCAACTGTTCCATTCTTATTCTGGAAAAACACCCATCCATTCATTTAGCAAATGTAGCACTTCCAGAGGGAATCCCATTGGATAAACAACACCTCCTCCAGGTAGTCCGCCCTGATTATCATCCTAGACATGCCCTCTGAATGCCCACTGCATCACACACATTCCCAGGGGCCCTGCTAACGTTCAGCCTTGCAGTTAGAGTATCTTTGTTTTTTTTGAGTTGGAGTCTTGCTCTGTCGCTCAGGCTAGAGGGCAGTGGCACATTCAAGGCCACCGCAGCCTCAATCTGCTGGGCTCAGTTGATCCTTCCGCCTCAACGTTCCAGTAGCTGGAACTACAGGCGAGCGCCACCCTGCCCGACTAATTTTTGAAATTTATCGTAGAGACGAAGTCTCGTCAAGTTGCCCAGGCTGGTCTCGAACCCCTGGGCTCAGGCAATCCTCTCTCCTCAGCCTGCCAAAGTGCTGAGATTACAGCCTCGAGCCACCGCACCCAGCCTAGAGTACCTTGTGTAAAAAGATGAACACCTTCTTAGAAAAATGGGCAAAGGACACAATCAGTCAATACTTAAATTCAAGTGACCAATAAATATCTGGAAAGATGCGAAACATCACTGGTAACTAAAGAGTAAAATCTTTTCACCTATCAGGTTGGTTGAGATTAAGAAAACTGGGTTGGAGACCATCATACTGAGTGATCTGTTTAGAACTGAATACCACATGTTCTCACTCATAAGTAGGACCTGAACACACACATTAGCACAAAGGAAGGTTCCACCGTCCTTGGACACTGCCAGGGGAAGGGGGGGCATGTAACAAGACAAAGGCTGTCTGGTCCCAAACCAAGGGAAGTGAGGACCAGTTGGAGCCCCAGACTTTCCCTGCACACAGCCTGCGTGGGGAGTTAATCCTGACTTGTACCCCACATCTCTCTAAAACAAAATGAAAAACAGGGTCAGGCCTGGCTCAGGCCTGTAATCCCAGCACTTTGGGAGCCCAAGCCAGGAGGACTGTTTAAGCCCAGGAGTCCTAGACCAGCCTGGGCAATATAGCAAGACCTTGCCTCTACAAAAAATCAAAAAGTTAGCTGGCATGGTGGTGTGCACCTGTAGGCCCAGCTCCTTGGGAGGCCAGGAGGTCGAGGCTGCAGTGATTTGTGACTACACCACTGCACTACAGCCACTTGGGCAACAGAGTAAGACCCCAACTCAATCAGAAAAAGAAAAGAAAAGAAAACCAGTGATGGCAATGATGGTAGGAAAATGGGCACCGTCATACACTTCTGAGAGAAGTGTAAACTGGCAAAATGTTTTTTGGAAGGCAAGCTGTCACTTAGCAAAATGTCCTCCGAATAGTTCCTTCAAAAGTAGTCATATAGTGCATATGAGCATATTTGAATGATGTTCATCATAATATTGTTTGTAATTATAAAGAAATGGAAATAATATGTTGTCCCTGAACAGAGGACTAATTAAATCCAGTATGATAAAATCACATAGAGGAGTGCTCCACAGCTATTAAAAACAATGAAATTTTTGGCATGGAAATACATCCACGACACAATAAGTGCAAATAAAAAAGCTCATTACAGGAACGAGGGGGGATCCCCTAAAAAACTGGAATTTAGCCATAAAAAACTGTTTATTCTCACATGTTTAAACCTCGGTCACCTTCGAAGTGCTCTGAATTTGATGCAATAGACCTACTGAGATGCTTCGTCCACTGTTCAAAACAGCTTTTGAACTCGTTAATTGCGATGCCTTTGAGTGCTTCTGCTGCTTGTTTCACCTCTTCCACCTGGGCAAAACGTTTCCCTTTGAGGATTTTCTCCCCAGAGAAACAAAGACAAAGCCGCTCAGGGCAAGATCGGGCGAACTGGGGCGGGGGCACAGGGGTCTTGCCGTTTGGGGCCAAAAGCTGCTGACGACTCAGAGTGGCGTGGACAGCGGCGGTGTCATGGTGGAAGAACCAGTCGCCTGCTGGTCACAACTCAGGACATTTCTTCCACACATTGTGATGCGACCTTCTCAAAACTTCCACATAAAAACTGATGGGTTGGCCGGGCTCGGCAGCTCAGCCTGTCATCCTGCGCTTTAGGAGGCCGAGGTGAGCGGATGGCCTGAGCCCGCGGGTTCGAGACCCGCCTGGGCCACTTGGCGAGACCTCATCTCCACAATCAATCAAAACAATCAGCCGGGCGTGGTAGCGCGCGCCTGTAATTCCGGCTACTCGGAAGGCTGAGGCGGAAGGGTCGTCGGAGCCCGGCGGGTCGAGGCTGCGGTGGCCGGGAGCGGCCCCTGCACTCTGGTCTGGGCGACAGAGTGAGACTCCCACTCAGAAACAAAACAAAACAAAACTGATGGGTTCTTGGACACTAACCTAGTGGGGGAAGCCTGTACTACAAGAGGCCCGCCCTCCAAAAGACAACATCCAGGTTTTTTTTGGGGGGGTCCCTCCTGTATGTCAGTGCATGCTGTGTCTGTGTGATTCTTAAACTGCTTTTGTTTATTATTTATTTATTTTCGAGACGGGGTCTTGCTCTGCTGCCCAGGCTGGACTGCAGTGACATGACCATAGCTCACTGCAGTCTTGAGCTCCTGGGCTCAGGCGATCCTCTTGCTTCCGCCTCCAGAGCAGCTGGGACTACAGGCATTACCACCACTCCCAGACTAATTTTAAAATTTTTTTTAGAGATAAGGTCTTGCTACATTGCCCAGGCTGGTCTGGAATCCTGGCCTCAACTTCCCAAAGTGCTGGGATTACAGGCATGAGCCACTGTGCCCTGCTATGCCTGCTATGCCTTGCTGTGTTTTTCCTACATCAACAGTTGCAGTGGCTCAGAAGGAACATTGTTTAATGTTTCTGCAGGTCTGACTTAGTTGGAAGAAGCTTGCATTGTTGATGCCCTCTGCCTCCTGCCCAGGAGCACAGGTTCAAGGGAAGGTGGTATCTGGTGCATCACTGTACCCTGGGCCCAGCCCAGCCTGGCCCAGCACAGAGAGGGAGCTCTGCCAGTGGGTGCCAAATAGATGCTGCCACTGGCCACACCTCAGCTCGGCCTTAGCCGCCCCAGCTCCCCCAGCACCACCGCAGAAGCCATGGGGCCAACTCCATCCCCGAGGGTGCGCCTTGTCAAAGGCCTTCCAGGCAGTGGGGGCCCAGCGGGTGGGGCCGACTGAGGGAGTGAAGGGTCCCAGGAGAGCAGCTCAGAGCCTGGGATGCTGCCTTGGGACCTCAGAACCCCGGAGGGCTTCCCGGTGGGGAAGAGATGCATGCTTCGCGAAGGGGAGGGCGGCAGAGCTTCCCTTCCACCATCAGCTGTTCCTTTTTTCTCTTTTTTTGAGCCAGAGTCTCACTCTGTCGCCCGGGCTGGAGGGCAGTAGCACACTCACGGCCATCCCAGCGCTGACCTGCTGGGCTCTGGCAATGCTTCCACCCCAGCCTTCCAAGTAGCCAGAACTACAGGCACGCGCTACATCTCAGCCTCCCAAAGTGTGGGATGACAGGCTGAGCCCCTATGCCGGTCTGTCAGCTTTCTCATTCCAAAGTGGTGCGCCTTAATGTGGTGAACTTGGGAAATGTAGAAAACACAAAAGGAAAGAAGCAGATCACCACAAGACCTGCCTCGCAGAAATGTGCTGTGTTTACATTCGGGGTGGGTTCTTTTGCTCTCTGCAAAGTTACATGCAGACTGTCTTTTAAAAATGACACACTACAAACTCTGCTTAAACGCAGCCTATCGTGAGTGTTTCTCCTTAGTGAGGAATATTCTTCTGCAAGACGTTTAATGGTTGTAGATTATTCCTTTGGGCATAATTTATACAACTAAACCCCTTTTCTCTCCAGAAATGTGAAGCCTCCTTCTGTTACCCAAGCTGGAGTGCAGCCACATGATCGCGACTCACTACAGCCTCTACCTCCTGGGCTCAGATGATCCTTCTGCTTCAGCCTCCCAAGTAGCTGGGACTACAGGTGTGTGCCACCATGCTCTGATGATCTTTAAATTTTTGTAGAGATGAGGTGTTGCCTAGGCTGGTCTCAAACTCCTAGGCTCAAGCAATCCTCCCACCTTGGCCTCCAAAATTGCTGGGATTATAGGCATGAGCTACTGTATCCGGCCCCTTGTTTTTTTATAAATATAGTATGACATTATATCTCTAGCCTTATTCATATCTCTGAATTTTTCTCAGGAATGTACACTTTTTGACAAACATGTTGGCAGTGATTCTTTTTAATCCAATATTTTCTAAGGAGATGACCCTCGGGGAAACTTTCCGGCAGAATCCCTTGGAGAATCACAAGGCATTCTCTCCTCCAGGCTGCATCCCCAGAGAGAACACTCACCTTTCATTCTCCAGTGACTTCAAAATCTCGGAGCTTTTCTTCTGTCTGTGGAGAAAGCCACGAAAGTCCCCGCAATCACCAGCAGGCCCATCTCCGACACAGCTGCTCCCGCCTGCCCGCGCTGGCTGTGCCAAGGGCTTCGGAGCTGAGCGGGCACCTCAGCCCCCCACCCGGGAGCACCGGGCTCTCAGCCAGCTTCTCAAACTACTGCAAGCCCCGGGTCTCCTCACCTGTGAAATGAAGAGAATTGAAAAAAACACAGAAAACAAACTCCTTGGCTTGTTTGTAAAGACACACGAGGCAACATACACACCATACTTAGCTGCTGAGAGACAGCCTGCAGGTAGCAGCTTTCCTGGGCTCACTCAGGACTTTGAAACTGCCCGTGCTGGATGGAGGCACAGGTGACTCGAGGGGCAAAGAAGGAAGCCTGGGAGCAGCAGAGCACGTGACTGAGCGCCTGTCTGGAATCTTCCTTGGGGACCCCCTAGCTGGACTTCTCCGGCACTCTGAGGTTTCTCTCTGGCCCCGCCTCCCAGCCCCTTCAAGACCTGCTCTCGGTAACTATCACCACGCACAGGATTTGTCACGGCAAATCTCACGATGGGGTGAATGGTCAACCTCAGCTCGAAGGGTTATTTGGAACCCAAAATATCGGAGCAGGATGTGATCCCAAATATCTTGTTAAACCTGCTCACTTTACAGATGAGAAACTCGGGGCCCCGTGGGGAACCACTTGCTCAAAGCCATAGTTCCAACCAGAAGCCATAAGAAACCAGACTTCATGATGCCGGATCACATTCTTTCCTCTTTAAGTTGGTGCAAATCGAAGCACCACATGGGATCCCAATAATGGAAGTCTCGGGCAGGAGCAGAGGGAGAAAGGGTCTCCACCCCAGGCTCCTCAAGGGGAGTCCCTGGGGAAGGACTCTGGGTCTGGGGCCGGAGATGGGGCCTGACCTCTGATTCTCCTGCAGGAGCTTCTGGATCCGGCCAGAGATGTTCTGCTCTGTCTGCTTCAGCTGCTCCTGCAGCCGCTGCCGCTCCACGTCCAGGTAGCGCTGGCGCTCACTCAGGCCTTGCTCCAGCCGAGACTGCGCCTGCGGCGGGGACGTGGGCGTCCTGAGCCGGCTGGTGCCTCCTCAGACACCGTGAGGGCGCTGCCTGCGGTCAGGAGACTGGCTTCCTCCTCCTGCCTCGCGAGGCCGAGCCAGGTCCTCCTCCCCTCGGTCCGAGTGCCCATCTGCACGCGGGGAGCCCGGGCTGTGGATGGGGAAGCGCCGCCCAGACGGATGCGACAGCCAATCCCACTGCCTCTCCACATCAGAGGGACCTTGCGTAGCCTGAGCCAGGAAGCTGGGGCCAGGTGGCGGCACCGAAAGAACCAACCCCACCAGGCCAGCCACTGACCTCCTTGACTGTCTGAAGGATCTCGTCCTTTTGGCTGTGGCTCTGCTGAAGGAGCTGGGCGTGCTCTCGCTGCCCGAGTTCCAGGCGCCGTTCAAACTCAAGTTTTTCCAGCATCTTCTGTTCCTGCAAGAACACAGGCCCGTGGGCATTAGGACCTGGGAGCAGGTAAACCTATCCCTCAACACGGAATACTGCAGGCTGCAGGTCTTAATGCTGCACCCCTGTCCCGGGTCAAATCGTAACCCAAGTGGGTCACGGGCGGAGGTTGGCGCCTTAGAGCCAGGGGTTGGGCTCAACCTCTCTGAGCCTCAATCTGCTCATGTGTCAAATGGATCCTCAACTACCCACCTGAGGTTGTGGAGGGATGCAGCAGACAATGCGTGTGAGAGGGAGGCACTCTTTTTACCTCTAATTTTGAGCAAGGAAGAACTCTTCAAATATTGTATGAATTGAGAAGAAAAGTGAGAGAGAAGAAAAGGCATTTTCTTACCTTCCTCTTCTCATAGTCTGAGAACCTATTCTGGGGGGAAGAAAGACAGTGGTCAAGAGGAGATGGCAGCAGAGGTTTTCACCGGCACGAGCACCTGGGCCACCCGGGCAGCCCGACATCACAGCCCACTGCCTGAGAATGGCGGGGTGAGGGGAGAGAGTGGGCTGGTGCTGAAAAGGCCCCAGGGGGTTCCAGTGGACACCAGGGGAAGAACTCCCAGGCTGTTCCCATGTGCTTGGCACACAGGAAGAAGCTCGAGACAGTCTGGGGGATGCAGTCCTGAGCCGCAAGACCAAGAAACGGGAAGTCCAACTCCCCTGGATGTCTGCCTAGCTAGCACACACGCAGTGTGCAGCCCCAGCTCACCGGAACATGCACACGTGCACAAAGGTGTCTGCACAAGTTCCTGTAGGATGATTCAAAAAGCAAAAACACTGGGAGTGATCGCCATCAACAGGAGGCTACATTAACAAGGCATGAGGCTTCCACGCCACGGACTGTGGTGTCACTGTCCACAGGCTGAATGTGTACGTGGCTATGGAGAAAGACATCTGCCACCCGTCCCCTGTGTGTAGCATGAGTCTGCTTTTGCAAAACCAACATCAACAAAACTCAGCCTGTAGGTGGGTATAGAGACAAAAGACAGGAAGGATGTGTACTAATCAGTTGATGTTGACTTCTGGGGAAGGGGCCTGCAGGGCGGGAAAGCGGACAGTCCCTTGCGGCATAATTGTCTGTGATGTTTACATTTATAAGAGGCATGAATTTCTTTTGTAATTAAACAACAACACACACACACCCAATCTTTTTGTCAGTGGTCTTTCTATGTAGTTATTCTGCTCTGAGACAAAAATCAGTCTCTGAATCATAAAAGAATCCTGGGCCAGGAGCGGTGGTTCATGCCTGTAATCCCAGCACTTTTGGAGTTGGAGGCGAGAGGACTGCCTGAGCACAGGGGTTTGAGCCCAGTCTAGGCAACTTGTAGACCTCATGTCTACAATAAAGAAAAAAAATTAGCAGGGTGTGATGGTATGTGCCTGTAGTTCCAGCTACTTGGAAGGTTGAGGCAGAATAATCGCCTGAGCCCAGCAGGTCAAAGCTGTAGTGGCTGTGAGCATGCCATTGTACTCCAACATGGGTAACAGAGTTAGATTTCAACTAAAAAAAAAAAAAAAAGAAGAATCCTGACCAGGTATGGTACCTTACATCCTAGCACTTTGGGAGACCAAGACAGGAAGATTGCTTAAACCTACGAGTTCAAGACCAGCCTAGGCAACATGGTGAGATGTTGTCTCCACAAAAAAAAAATTTTTAATTAGCCTGGCATGGTGGCATGCGCCTGTACTCCCAGCTATTCAATAGGCTGAGGTGGGAGGATCGCCTGAGCCCAGGAGGTCAAGGTTGTGGTAAGCTGTGATCATGTCACTGTACTCCAGCCTGGATGACAGACTGAGATTCCAACTCAAAAGTAAAAAAAAAAATAAAAAAAAAATAAAAAAATAAGGTTTTACTTATACTAATGGTAGGGGTGTAGTTTTTAAATTAATTTTTTTTTTCTTTGAGTTGGAGTCTCACTCTGTCGCCCAGACTGGAGTGCAGCGGCCGCTCCCGACTACCGCAGCCTCGACCTGCTGGACTCCGGTGATCCTTCCGCCTCAGCCTTCCGAGTAGCCGGAATTACAGGCATGCGCTACCACGGCTGGCTGATTTTTCGATTTATTGTAGAGATGAGTTCTCGCGGGATTACAGGCTGAGCCACCAAGCCCGGCTAAATTAATTTTTAATTATACAGGTAATATCTCAATATCATAACAGTCTAGGGGCTAGGCACAGTGGCTCACGCATATAAGACCAGCACTTTGGGAGGCTGAGGTGAGAAGATTGCCTGAGTCCACGGATTCGAGACCAGCCTGGGCAACTTGGCAAGACTTCATCTCAACAATAAAACTAAAAATTAGCCGGGTACAATGTACATGCCTGTAGTTCCAGCTGCTTGGAAGGTTGAGGCAGAAGGATGACCTGAGCCCAGCAGGTACGGGTTGTGGCACTCCAGTCTGGGCGACAGAGTGAGACTCCCACTCAAAAAAAAAAAGATTCATGCCAATCTGGGGAAAATGGCATTTCATTGGTGTTTTAATTTATATGCCTTTGGTCACTAGTAAAGTTGGCATTTTTATTTTTATTTTTTTGAGTCAGGGCCTCACTCTATCATCCAGGCTGGATTGCAGTGGCCATGATCACAGCTTATCACATCCTCTAACTCCTGGGCTCAAGTGATCCTCCTGCCCCAGCTTCCAGAGTAGTTGGGGCTACAGGTATGTGCCACCATACTTGGCTAATGTTTTTTTTTTTTTTTTTTTGTAGAGATGAGGCTCACTATGCTGCCCAGGCTGGTCTTAAACTACTGGGCTCAAACTATCCTCCCTGCCTTGGCTTCCCAAAATGCTGGGATTATGGGTATGGGCCACTATACCCAGCAGGCATTTTTTAAATGTTTATTGACCGTTTGTAATTTTTTCTTCTGTGAAGTATCTACTGTTATGACTCTGGCCTTTTTTTCTATTGGGATGGATTTCTTTTTATTGATTTGAAAGAGATCTTTCTATGTTCAGCCCACTAATCCTTCATTAGGTATGTATGTTTTATCAGAATATAAACTGGCACAATTCCCCCTGAATGGTAATCTCTTCCCTCTCCAATTCTTGTTGAATTGTCAGAAGAAATATAACATCACAAATGCAGTGGAAAAAGGAAAGGGAGGCATCTGGGAACCAGAAATTAATAGAAGAATCACTAGAAGAGGCCAGGCACAGCGGCTCACACCTATAGTCCCAGGGCTTTGGGAGGCGAGGCGGGAGGATCTCTTGAGCCCAGGAGTTCTTGAGACCAGCCTGGGCAATATAGCAAGCCTTCATCTCTACAAAAATAAAAAAATTAGCCAAGGCATGCGCACCTGTAGTTTAGCTACTCGGGAGGCTGAGGCGGAAGAATCACCTGCACCCAGGAGGTCAGGGCTGCAGTGAGCCGTGATCATGCCACTGGGTGACAGAGGGAGACCCAGATTCACTCACTCAATCAGTCAATCTTAATAGATAGATAGATAAATAAATAAGTGAAGAGCTATATGAGAGTTGATCTAAGGTTATCTCCCTTGCCAGACGGAGCTTCATGAGCGTAGGGGTCATGTCTGGAACGGGGAGATTTCCAGACAGAAGCAACCACTTGGCCAAAGGCCCTGAAGGAACACAGTTGTTTGAGGGAACAGGGAGGAGTCCGGGACAGCTTGTGCTTGGTGAGCTGGTGGGGTGAGGCTGCCACGGCAGGTACGGAAGCAGCGGCTCAGCACACCGCCTCAGGGGAGGCCAGTTCTGGTTTAATGGAGGAATCTGGGGGCTGCGGCTCTAAGCACCTCCCCTGTGCCCGGGCCTGCCACACATGCACACGTGCAGCCCCCAGCAGGCAGGCTTGCCTTACTTGCCACTCCACCTCCTCCCTTAAGAATCTGTCTGTGGGTCCATCAGGGCTGTCCCGCAAGTTCTCGGCTCCATCTTGCTCCAGCACTGGCAGCAGGTACTGAGAAGGGGGGTAGTACTGCAGCCCTGACTCTGTAGGAGAAGGTGGGACAGACAGGGTGCATCAGAAGGGAGGACCGAGCTGAGGTGCCTGGGGACGCTACTCCCAACTGCCTGCCCCTCCTCCCTCCTCCCTCCTCCCCTTCCCGAGCAACCTGCCCGTCTGATGCAGACCACCACTCTCTTCTTCCCTAGACTGGCCCTCTGGGCTGTCACTGGACCTGATCCTTGGGCCCGGAATGTAGCAAGTGCTCAGTACCTGTCAGCTGAGAGAGCCGATGGCAGACTGTCTGCCTCTTCACTATCTGAGGGAGAATAGGTCCTAAGAAAAGTCAGCCAGTAGCGGTGGCTCAAGCCTGTCATCCCAGCACTTTGGGAGACCGCGGTGAGGGGATTGCCTGAGCCCATGGGTTCGAGACCAGCCCAGGCAACTTGGCAAGACCTCATCTCTACAGTAAATCAAAAAATTAGCCAGGTGTGGCATGGTAGTATGTGCCCGTTGCTCCAGCGACTTGGAAGGCTGAGGCAGAAGGATCGCCTGAGCCCAGCAGGTTGAGGCTGCGGTGGCCGTAAGAGTGTCACTGCGCTCCAGCCAACTCCGACTCAAAAAATAAATAAATCCAATGCATCAATCTTCTATCATTAGTGCCGCCTGCCTCCCGCTTAAGGACGGGGTTTAAGTTCATTTTTTCCACAGGGATGTCTAATTGATTCAGAATCAATGGGAAGACCATCCACTCCCCTGCTTGTCCATGGCCATCGTAGATCAGGCGACCAGAGGCATGTGAGCCTTCGCCGGTTCCTGAGAGTTCCCAGGAGACCCGGCCACTCACGCACAGCCTGCCGGGCAGCCCTGCTCCTCCTGCTGGCGGCCAGCGGTGGCTCCGGGCTTCAGCCCCTCTGCCTTGCAGCGCTCTCCCAAGCACAGGCCCCGCCGCCTCTCCTGATGCCTCCGGCCGCCCGCCTGGTCTACCTCCTCCAGCCCCTTCTCACTGCAGCCAGCGTTTGGCACCGGGCCAGGCACCCTCTCTGGCTACCTCCCATCTCTCTCCCCTCTGCTTCTGCACTCCGGCCTCACCGGCCTTCTCTCCATCAAGCCTCTGGCTCCCCAGCCCCTCTAGGCCCTTCCCCATATGTACCTCCTTCTGCCAAGAACACGCTTCTCTCTCTTTTGAGTTGGGGTCTCACTCTGGTGCCGAGGCTGGAGTGCAGTGGCAAGATCACGGCTCACCACAGCCTCGGACTCCCAGGCTCAGGTGATCCTCCCACCTATCTCAAGCAGCTGGGCTACAGGTCTGTGCCCCCATGCCTGGCCAATTCTTTTTTTGTAGAGACAAGATTTCACTTTGTTTCCTAGGCTGGTCTTGAACTCCTAGCCTCAAGTGATTCTCCCACTTCAGCCTCCCAAAGTGCTGAGATTACAGGGGTGAGGCACCACGCCCAGCCTCTTCTCTCTTTTCTAAGGCATAACCATCCCTTGAGTGTCAGCTGAGCCACATTCTCAGTCTCAAAAAGGCCTTCCTAGCAGCCCAACCCAAATCAGATGCCCCGTTACATTCTCTTGTAACCACAGTCCAGAACTTAACTTCCCTGCATGCTCATCTGTCTTCCTGCTTCCCTCTCGAGGTTTTGATCTCTGAACAGGCAGGTGCTGTGGCTAGCTCAGTCTCTGCTGTCCCCCAGTCTGTGTGGGCACTGGGTGGCCTTTGGGGTCACGATTCCTCGCTGGCTTTACCTTTGCAGAGGAACTGCAGGATGGCCGCAGTGCCGGCGCCACACACCTCCCGTGGGGGGTAGACCATGGCCGAGGCATCGAGGTTCAGCGTCTGGAGACACAAGGGGACTCCCTGAACCGCGCAGTTCGAGCCACCGCTTTCCCGGTGCATTTGCATGCTGTCTCTGCCTGGGCCCGGAGGAGCACTCGAAGCGCAGAGAAGGCTGGGCCCTCTTGTTACTTACAGCTGCATTCCTAGTACCTGGATGGCTGCAGGCATGCAGCCAGCACTCAGTGAAATACAGTATGTGAGCAAAAAGGGAAGAAGTTACAGGACAGCACAGAGAATACAATGCCACGCTTGTTAAAAATATGCTCTTGCCGGGCTCGGTGGCTCAGCCTGTAATCCCGAGCCTTTGGGAGGCTGAGGTGAGTGGATTGCCTGAGCCTGCGGGTTTGAGACCCGCCCGGGCAGTGAGACCTCATCGCTACAATAAATCAAAAAATCAGCCGGGCGTGGTAGCGCATGCCTGTAATTCCGGCTACTTGGAAAGCTGATGCGGA